AATGTCCAATGTGGCTTTTATTTTGGACCTCTTGATTCACAGTGATGAATTCATGGTGAGGCGTGTTTGCAGCCCTTAAAACACTAGTACACATGGCTCTCTCTCTGTCTCTTTTTTTTTTTTTGAGAGAGAGAGAGAGAGAGAGAGAGAGAGAGAGAATTTTCTAATATTTACTTTTTAGTGGACACAACATCTTCGTTTGTATGTGGTGCTGAGGATTGAACCTGGGCTGCATGCATGCCAGGCGAGCACGCTACAGCTTGAGCCACATCTCAGCCCACACATGGCTCTTAATCCCTGCTCTAATGCCAAGGGGGATGCTGGGGCACCTTTCTATATCTCATCTCTCTGAGAATGGTACATGTACATATGTACCCCAAAGCCAGGTGTAGAATCTGTACTTCTCAGAATTCTGAGCAGCTCTAGAGTTCAGCTCTAGAGTTCTGTGAGTTTATGGTACCAAATTGTTTCATTGGTTAGTAGGACAGAATGTTGGATGAACACTCCAGTGAGGAGGTGCTAAGAGGGGGTCAGTAGGGACTTTCTCATTGAGAGGAAAGTGTCTGTAAGCCCTGTCAAACCTCTTCATCTCTGTTAAATGAACACATAGTAGCATACACTCATGGGACCATGAAGTTATCCATATGAAAAAGAAGGAAAAATGGAGGAAGGGACAGAGGAAGATGAAGGGGAAGGAGGAGGAGAGTTTAGAGAAATGATTCAACTTTGTGGATATATAGTATATAATTTTAATTTTCCTATCTTTACTTCCTTTTCTTTCATGGAGTAATATTTGCCACATATTCCTTTTCACATCACAAAATGAATTGAGGGTGATGCATGCCTGTAATCCCAGCGACTTGGGAGGCTGAGACAGGAGGATTGCAAGGCCAGCCTCAGCAAAAACGAGGTGCTAAGCAACTCAGTGAGACCCTGTCTCTAAATAAAGTACAAAATAAGGCTGGGATGTGGCTCAGTGACCGAGAGCTCCTGAGTTCAACCCTGGTACCCCTTCCCCCCCCAAAAGTCAAAATGAAGAGGCCTGAAAAATAGTAAATCTATTTGGTTTCTTTGGAAATTAATACAGAATATTGAAATTACTACTCTTAATAATATATTTGTCATCTTTACTCTTTGCCTCTTTACCCTAGGGATTAAAAAAGTGTAAATATTTTCATCAGTATCTTTTTATTATTTAAGAGTCTTAAATATTTATTAAGAGCATGCTGTCACTTAAATGAACCTGCATATATTTTTGCTACTCAGAATATGGCAAAATTAACAAATTAAGATGAAAATTATTTGGAAAAACCTTAGTGCTTGATGCAGCGCCCTATCCCTTTGCTTATTCTGTGTCAGTTTCTGTTTGGAGCCTCTCTCCATCAGGGAGCAGGGTAGATTATAGGCTGCCTTACCTGCAGGGAATTGGCAGGCTCTTGGGTACTAGCCTTGCATCTGGTAGTCCATTTGCTAAAGCGCAGAATGAACTGCTCAAGGTAAGGACCTTCCATTTCAGGATGAGGTATTGAGCCAGCCAGCCAACAATAATTTGCTAAGTGTTGGTAAAGTATCAAGTACTGTGCTGGGCTGTCAAGTGGATTCAGAGAATATAGTGGCTCTTCACTCCAGCCGGGGAGTCAAAATAGACTCTTAAAAAAATTGGTGTCAGATGTGTAATTAGGAGTGAGGGGTGGTTCTATTCAAATGCTGCCACCCATGCCCAATGGTTGCTCCTCAAGTTTGGACCCAGCATGGGAATGGGGAGTCAAATGCAGTTGCCTTCGTGGAAGGAACTGTAAGTGCAGGTTTTCCTTTCAATATATCACATTTATTAGCAGCATGAGCTTTCCTGTCTTACTTTCCTCATACTGGAAGGAATCTGGAGGCTGCTCTAACTATACATGTTTTAAGTAGAGAATACATGGTGCTCCTACCTAGTACTGAGGGGCTTAAAGAGGAATCAGCTATAGTGCTTGCTGTGAAAACCAACACTGGAGTTGTACTAGGAAGTGGATAATGGGTATAGAGAAGCAAAAATACTATAGGTGGAAAATTTAGTTATGCTACATGATTCATGTAGGTACCAGATGGAGACTTGTGTAGTTGTAGCCAGCTTCAGTCCATGCCAGCCCAAGGGTCCTAATGGGACTCTGGTAGAGGGAAGGGGCTCACTGAGGTAGGTGCAGGAAAGGAATAGAATTTGAGTCGTGTGTTGGGACCTTGAGTGACCCCCAGGGGTCAGGGTGTAGAATGGGTGAGCAGTCTGTTTGACTTCTGGCATTTCCTCCCTCAGGTGGTACCCACATCAGTTTTCCCAAGAAGCTGGGAAAAAGGTATTGGGGAGAGAGTGTGTTGTCACTATTAATGTCAAAGTATAATTTCCCCAAGTTAGAAGTATGACTTTCATAAAGATACAAAAGGAAAGTCAAATTTTATTTAACCCATCAATTAGGAAACTGGTGAGATGGTGAACTCATTCAAAAGGTATTTAAGGAACTAGTTATTTATTAACTTTAAAGAAACTGATCAAATTATGTTATATGCATGTGCAAATGTGCCACATGAAACTTTTCACTTGGTATAATAAATATGCACCAATGAAAAAAGAATTTAAGATTACTAGGCTATGCACAAATCTGGATAATGTCCTACACAGCAATGAAACCAGACTCTTTTGGTACTCTTTTTTTCTGCCATCCAGAATTCCATAAATTAAGTGGTAACTCCACAGGGTTTGCAGTCTACTCAATGAATAGTAAGGTCAAATACAAGTACATTGTTTGGAGAGTTAAATAAGCCTTGGCAGGGCTCCTTAAACAATGCTGCAGCCTGGCATTGGGAGGGCTCCCTGCCTCCTCATTTCTCACTCCCTCCCCATCTCACCCAACTGCCTCATTCCAATTTTTGTATATATTTTATTAACATTAAAAAGAATACTTTGAAGTTAAAGAAACCTTAAATTGAGCCCCAGTTTCTTCACTCATTAGCTGTGTAATGTGGGGCAGAGAATTACTTACAGTTGGAATTACTTGCTACAAATTGGAAGAAGCAAGTGGCACAGCTTTTGTAAAGTGCCTGGGATATGAGAGGTATGCAGTAATGCCTGGTTCTTTACAAATACCCTCTTCTTAAAATGAAAAATGTTTCATTTTTTGGTCTGCTTTTCATAGAGTGTGACTTATTTACAGAAGTCAATGGGATGTTTCAACAAAATAGAGGGATGTTGCTTAAGTGACTTCTTACTATTTGATAGTCCTTCTTTTTTCAATTTTTGAAGGTGGGTCTGGGGGCATATTTCTTGCTCTATGGAAATATTACCTGGTAGCCATGGTATATGTCTATAATACTCAGGTGTGTGTGGGGGGTGGGGGCACTGAGGCAGGAGGATTCCAAGTTTGAGTTGCCATCCCAGGCAACCAGCCAGACCCTTTCTCAAATGATAAAAATGGTTGGAGATGTAGCTCAGAGGTAGAGCATCCCTGGGAGGGAGGGAGGGAGAAAATCAGCTTGCCTCCTTTTATATGGAGAGCCGGTTTTCCCAAGTTGTGAAGGGAGGGAGGGAGGGAAGAAGGAAGAAAGGAGGGAAGTTGAGGTTTGTGAGAAGGGTGGAGAACTGGAGAAGGCATGGAAAACTCTTGCCTACAAGGATACATGCCTTGGCAGTCCAAGCTTGAGTCTTTAATTCATTAGGCAACAAGTATTTATTGAGCAACATTTCTGTGCCAAGCCCTGATGATTTTCTGTTTACATGTTGAGAGCCTGCTCTGGTGGAGATGGACAGTAACTATATAAACAAGGAACATGATTTTGGAAAGTATTATGAATGAAATAAATAAGATGATGAGAAGCTGTAAGTAAATTTCTGTTCTTAGTAACTTTAATTAGGGTGTTGGCTAGAGACAATATCCTTGAAGAAGTGACTTTTTGATTTGAAGAATGAAAAGGAGTCAGCATGGGAATGGTTGAGAGAAGGAGAAAGAATGAACAGTGCAGAAAGATACAGGATGAATATGGCCTGTTCAAGGAACAGAAAAATCTGTGGCTCATGTGGTTGACAAGAGGAGGATGAGTGGAGATGTGATTGGATAATTGGATAATGGAAAGGCTGTTTGAGGGCTCCAAAGATTGTGGGAAGGAGTTTGGGTTTACTCTAAGTGCAGTAGAAAGCTCTTAAAGAGGTCTAGAGCAGTGGAATGGCAAGGTGCTTATTAAAAGAAGAGAGAGAAAAAGGATGGAATGGTGGGTCTCATGAATAGGAGTAGGGAGACAGTGACATGATCCTTGTAGGAGTTGTGGTGAATCCCAAACCATAGTGGATGAGGGGCTTGGTTTTGATTTTGCTGCTATGAGGGAGCAATTGTGTATGTGTGAGTTTTTGAGCTAGGTTATGTGTGTTTGTGAGTGTGTGTTGTATGACTGTGAGTCAGTATATGTGGAGTGTGTATGGATTTGTGAGTGGGTATGAGTGTGTGTGTGTGTATTTAGATTTGTCTCTTGTTATAGCTTTTGAACAGGCTAGTGGCATGAAGGAAGGGGCTCTTGTATTGGTACAGATTTAGCTAGAGGAAAGCAAGTGGCAGAAAAAGCTAGGAGGGTAGTTCAAGTAGCTATGAAGTGAAGGCCTAGGTGATGCTATCTTGGCTAGCACAAAAAGAAGACTGCATTGGGAAAGTCCTGTTGTTTATGTGTTGTATTCTATATCCAGAACGAATGAGACTGAGAAGTGAAAGATAGCTCTATTAAAGAAGTCACCTTCTTTTCAAAGCAGTCCAGTTTGATTGCAGGCTGAATATTCTACCAGTCTTAATTACAACATATGTACATCACTTAAATTCACAGATTTCTGTGAAAGGAATTCCACTTGTCAGAGATGGATGATTCTACTGCATGCTTTACCCTTCTGCCAAACCCCGCCCCCAAATGCATACTCATTTTCTTTTTTTACATTAAAATCCTTAATTCTTGAGAAATTCATTGTGTTTTTTATCTCCCCCCTCCAGGATATCTTTGAAGATGCCTTGGAAACCATCTCCATGTAAGTAATAATATAATAAAAACTAAGTTATAATTAAAAATTGATGGTTTTCATATGTAAAATGTAAATTTCATTCTCATTTTTTAGAGTAGTGACCAGTGTCGAAAGTCACTACTCTGTAATTAAAAAGAGTTAGGATGTGATTATCCTAAAGAAATAATCTACCTAATGTTACTCTCTCTCTTTTTAAAATATATATAAAAATATAAATATAAAAAAAAATATATACTTGTAGATGGACACAATATATTTATTTATGTGGTGCTGAGGATCCAACCCAATGCCTCACGCATGCGAGGCAAGCACTCAACCACTGAGCTACAACCTCAGCCCCTCTAATGTTATTTTCCAATGTATTTTTTAGTATTATTTTTTATAATATCATAAAATAAAATGTTTTCCAACAAATTATTTTATTTATAGCTAACCTTTTTAATACTTGCTCATATTTAACCTCTTATATTTGCATTTAGTTTTGTTACAGGCATTTACTCTAAGCCTCTATAATTTTTGTAATAATTTTAAATGACTAAATTATATTAGAATCAAGTAGAATACCACAACTTAATCACTCTTCTTTGTTAGACATTTAGGTTGTTACTGGGAGTTTACAAACTTAAAATTAAGTAATGAATATTTTCATGCATATAGCTTTATCATATTTTGAATGATTTTCAAAGATCAACATTACAGAAGTAGGATTTTTGGATTAAAGGATACGTGTTTATTGCTCTTCATATATTTAAATTTTCCTTTCTATGTTTGTTAGCTTAGGCTGCCATACAAAATACCGTAGTTTGGGTGGCTTACATAACAAGTTTATTTTCTCAGCTTTTTGGAGGCTGTAATTCTGGGAGTAGGGCATCAGCATGGTTGGGTTTTGGCGAGGATTCTCTTTTTGCTTGCAGATGGCCACCTTCTTTATCTGTATTTTCACATGACAGAGAGAGAGAGATGGAGCAAGTTCTCTGGTGTCTTTTCTAGTAAGGGCACAATCCCACCATGAGGGCCCCTGCCGCAGTCTTGGCTGGGCACAGAATCAAGAGCCACTCACAGCTTTGTAGATTCAAACAGCAATTCTTTATTCCCGAACTCACACCGGCCCTCTGCAAACACGTTCTGGGGAAAATCAGGTTCTGGGCCTACTCCACCAGGCTCTTATCAGCAGGATACGCCCTATTCCCAGCAGGAATAACCTTAAACCTGGAACTTCCCTAAACCCAGATTGTCTTAAACCGGGAATGCCTTAAACCCAAATTATCCTAAACCGGGATACTTCCTAAAACCTGCAGGATACACCCTAAACCTGGATCCACCCTCGTCCTTGAGCAGGGTCACCTTTCTCAAACACACATGCAATGTCACAGCAAATTTCCAAGGCAAGTCCATTTAACATGGGGTACGCTGGCAAGGAAATTTCGATGTGTCATTCCTACTTGGCAATGGCCCTCAGCAGGCCCCATTCTCATGACTTCATATAATCATAATAATCTACCCAAGGCCCAGTCTTTAAATATGAACATATTGGAGGTTAGGGCTTCAAATGTGAATTTATGGGTAACAGTGTGGGCAGACAAGTGATTTAGTACTTAGCACTTTGAAAAAGAATTTTATCTGTTTACAAGGCTACAACACTGTGAAGTGAAATCATTTAAACTGTATCATTACCATCACTGGATATTATTTGAAAAATAGTTTGCTACTGAAATGATACTGGTTTTAGTGTCTTTGATTTTTCTTATTCTCTTATTCATTGCTTGTTATAGAACACTTCCTTTTGTATGACTTTTTATCTTCTAGCCTGTTTAACTTTTCCTTCAACGTTTCTTTTAAGTTCTTTATGGACTTTAGACTATATATGCCCTAATTTTTTGTCATATTTGTTATAGATATTTTTTTCAAAGTAGTATTTTTTTAATATTTATTTTTTAGTTGTAGTTGGACACAATACTTTTATTTATATGTGGTGCTGAGGATTGAACCTAGGGCCCCGCATGTGGTAGGCAAGCACCCAGCTGCTGAGCCACAACTCTAGCCCTCAAAGTGGAATGTTTATCTTAGAATTACAAATTTTATTTTGTCCCAAAATTTTAATGTTTATGTTGTCAAATATTTTTATGATTACAAAAAGTTTCAGTGTGTTTAGGAGTTCAGAAAAAATATTCTATTTTGGAACAGTTTCAGATTTACAGATTATTGTGAAAATAGTGCAGAGTTCCTGTATGCCCCACACCTAGTTTTCCTTGTTATTAATTTCTTAAATTAGCATGTTACATTTGTTACAATTAATGATCCAATATGGATACTGTTGTAGTTTGAATCTGGAATGCCCCCCAAAGTCTTCTTCCCCAGTTTGGCACTGTTGGAAGATAGTAGAACACTTTAAGAGATGGGGCCCAGTGAGAGGTTTTAGGTTACTAGGGATGTGTCCTTGAAAGGGATTAGGGTACCCTGGCCTCTCTTTCTTTGCTTGGCTGCCATGAGCTAAATGGGCTTCCTCTGTTATGAGTTCCTACTGTGATGTGCTGCCTCATCACAGGTCCAAAAGCAGTGGGACCAACTGACCATGAACTTAAACCTCCAGAATTTGAGCCAAAATAACTTTTAACTCTTTTTAAATTGATTTATCTCAGAAACTCATTACAGTAATGGAAAATAAATGAACACAGATACATTATTATTAGGGACAGTCCTTACATTATTCATATTTCTTTGGCTTTCAGCTAGTGTCTTTTTTTTGTCCCAGGATCCTGGCTAGCAAACTACATTATGTTTAGTTATCATGCCCCCTTAGGCTTCTCTTGATTGTTACAGTTTCACAGACTTTCCTTGTTTTTGATGACATTGGCAGTTTTAATTGGTGAGTTATTTTGTAGAATGTTCCTTAGTTGAGATTTTTTTTTTCCTTATGGTTTGTTTGAGGTCATGTGTTCTTGGGAGGGAGACCACAGAGGTAAAGGGCCACTCTCAACACATCAAAGGTACATGATATCTGTGAGACTGACCATTGTGATATTAAACTTGATCACCTGGCTTGAGATAGTATTTGTTAGGTTTCTCCACTGTAAAGCTACTTTTTTCCCCCTCTATTTTTTCATATTGTGCTCTTTGGAATAAGTTTATTTGTGGTATTATGATGTGTGTGTGTGTGTGTGTGTGTGTGTGTGTGTGTATGTATGTGTATTTGTTTATTTGTTCCCCGATCACAACTCTTTCCCCAAGGCTAACCATAGGAACTAAAATTTCTTCTCTTGAAGGCAAGTAATATCCATAGACCTACCCTGTCTGACAATGGATCATTAGATCCCTATTCAGAAGGGATCTTCTCCTATACCTGGGAAGAAGGAATGCTGCTTGGAGAGGCCAAGAAGAATCTGAACAGACAGGGCTTGTTGAGTTTCGGCTACATTACTACATAGTTGTTTGTGCTTCCATCATGCCTATGCTGTGAAATTTCCATAAGAGGCCAAAAGGAATGTTCAAAGAGCTGGATAGTTAAACATGTGGAGGTATATAGGAAGTTGTTTTATACCCCTTGCCCTGTTCTTTAATTCATCTGTATCCTTGATGATATCCTGTATAATAAACTAGTAATTGTATTTCCCTGAGTTCTGTGGGTAGCTTGAGCACATTAATCACACCTAATAAGGGGATTTTGAGAGCTCCGATTTATAGCTGGTCAATCAGAAGCACAGATAGAACAACTTAGGGCTTGCAAATGGCATCTGAAGTGAAGGGAGCCAGGCTTAGAGACTGAGCCCTCAACCTGTGAGATATGAAGCTATCTCAGAAAGAGTGTCAGAATTGAGATAAATTAGAGGACCCTCAACTGTTTTCAGCTGCAGAACTGATTACTTGTTTGCTGTTGGGAAGAAATCCCTGTATCTTTTGGAATCACAGAGATTTTTTATGTTGATGGCTATGGTGTGAAAGCAGAGGAAAAACAATTTTTTCTGTGCTCATTGTGATGTTTTAAAAAAATCACTTTTAAGATTAGTGAGTTATTGCCATACAGAAATCTTATAACATTCAACTGACACTATGGCTCTACTCTGGGTACTGGCAGAAACTGAGCTTGGGCCACAGAAGGAGTCAGCAGTTCAGGTGATGGGAAATGTTTGGGCTGTGGACTGCTGACTAGAATTAATCAGTGAGGTACTGCTGTCCCCAGCAGGAGGCTGGAACACTAGACACAAGCCAGGAAGAGGTCTGGCCTCACAGAGGGAGACGGGCTGTTGCACCTGATGAGATCCAAGGAGCAGCACATATTAGTACTTGTGTATCTTCCAGCATGCACTGGCTGCATTAGGCTGGTAGCAGCTTTACCTTTGGGGTATATGAGAGGCTCTGAAAGTGATTCCTAATAGTTTTTAAAAATTGGATTATACCAAAAAAAACAAAAAAGGGATCAAAACAAAACTTGAGTTTAAGCCATTTGAAGTTAATTAAAATCCCTATGTCATGCCAGCCCTAAAATTATTAGGCTATTACATATCCCAGCATCATTTTCTAAGTCCATGAAGAAAGAAAATTTATGTATGATGCTTCTTTTATAGAATGATAAATATATTAAAATAATAACACTGTTTTGGGCTTCCTAGTCTGTTCCTTTGATTTGTATGTCTGTGTTTGCACAATAATTGCTCTTTTATTCAGCTGTTTTAGATGTTTTAATACTAGTATGACTGATTCTTAGGAAAACAGCGTCCAAAAGGGATCCTTGTGATGGAGTTGTTTTTGTTTCATATCTATCAGATGCCTCTTCATGTGCTTTTCACATGAGGAAATCAGCAAGTCTGTGTGCCTTGACTTGGTTTTTTAAAAATTTTAAATTTGTTTTTATTATACATGACAGTAGAATGCAGTTATGCACTTTGATATTATATCATACATAGATTGGATATAATTTCTCATTTTTCTGAGTGTACATGTTGCAGAATCTTATTGGTCATGTGGTCACATACATACATACAATAAAAATGTCTGTCTCATTCTACTAT